CTTTGAATATCTTTTGTCGATGATGGTGATCTTAGATCGAGGATGGCCTTGATTTGCTCCGGCTTGCTTCAATTCCTCTTTTGGTCACCATGTATCCAAGGAACTTGCCTGATCTCATTCCAAAGTGACACTTGGAAGGATTTAGCTTCATGTTATATTCGTCCAGTATGTCGAAGGCTTTTTCAAGATCCTTGAGGTGATCTTCAGCTCTCATGGACTTGACCACCATGTCATCGATGTAGACTTCGATGGTGTCCCCCAGTTTCTCTTTGAACATTTTGTTGACTAGCCTTTGGTATGTTGCACCTGCATTTTTAAGACCAAATGGCATGGCAGTATAACAATAGATACCCGTTGGAGTTATGAATGTCGTATCCTCTTGGTCAGATGGTTCCATCTGGATCTGTTGGAATCCCGCGGATGCATCCATGAATGTTAATAATTCATGACCTGTTGTCGCGTCTATCATGGAGTCTATGTGTGGTAGAGGGAATGGGTCCTTGGGACAAGCCTTGTTAATATCCATGTAATCTAGACACACTCTCCATTTACCATTCTTCATTTGTACCACGACCATATTAGCTAGCCACCTTAGGAATTTCACCTCCTTGATCATCCATGTTTTGATAAGTTTTTCTACTTCTTCTTGTATAACTTGGTTTCTCTGCGGTGCAAACTTCCTTCTCTTTTGGTGTATTGGTCTGAAAGATGGATCAATGTTAAGTTTATGTGTTATGATATTTTTTTTCTATATGTGTCATGTCCTCATGTTTCCATGTAAACGTCTTGCTTCTAGCTTTGAGGAAGTTTATTAAATCATGTTCGATTTGTTCAGGCATTGAGGATCCTATGTGAATTTTGGCATCATGATCCTCAAGGTTCAGGGGTACTTCTTTTATATCTTGTTTTCTTGTTTTTGGTACGTCTTGTTCCCCCTGCTTTAATTGTTATTCTTTTCGTGGTATCGTCGAGGATTTCATCGAAGTCTTGTAGCATTCTTTGGATTCTTGATGATCTCCTATGATCTTCACTGTCCCCCATGGGGTAGGCATCTTCAAACATTGATGATATGTTGATGGAACGACCTTCATTTCTTGGATCCATGGTATACCTAGTATAACATTATAAGAGGATAATGTATCAATTTAACAAAAACGTTGTATAGAGTTTACCCCTCTATGTAGATAGGTAGCTTTATCTCGCCGACGGTGTGTTTGGTTTCGCCGCTGAATCCGATCAGCACTGAGGATCTTCTAACTATTTTAGTCTCCGGGATGTTCATTCTTTTCAATGCATCCAGGAGTATAATGTTGACTGAGAATCCTCCATCGACAACGATCCTTCTGACGAAATGGTTGGAAATGTAAAGAGTGATCACCAATCTGTCATGGTGAGGATCCTAGATGTCTTGTCTATCTGCTTTATCGAAGGTGATCTCCTTCTCATTTGTGATTGATGTGTTCTTCTTTGGTCCTTTTTCTTTCTTCATTTTTGATACCTTGGCGTGCCTCTTTGCTGTCAGATGCTCCAGAGATCACATTGATTACCTTGGCGTCAGCAGGAAGGGTCCTGGTCTGTCGAGGATCTTTTGAGGATCCTGATCTTTTTCTTTGGATCTCTCCTTTCTTCTTCCAATGATTTCTTTGAGGTATCCTTTTCCTAAGAGGTAGCTGATATCCTTCCTGAGAGCTATGCAATCCTCTGTGATATGACCAAAGTCTTCATGGTATGCACACCATTTGGACTTGTTTTTCCAATCAGTGGATTTTTCTCCCTTTTCTTGGAGATCTTGCTTTGTCTTCATGATCAGGCATAGCAAATATTACACCTGAAATATCCACAGAAAAACAATAGTAAGTAATTTTAGGAAAGTCTTCTTCCTCTCCCTCATCCTCAAGAGCATTAACCCTATGATGGTCATGTTTGGAATATGGTTTTGACTTATAGAATCTTTGGGCCGAGGAGTCGGCATTTCTATTGGGGTGATTGTAATAGCTTGGTGGGTTTTGACTTATGAACCTTAGTGCTCTGCTTCTGACTTCGTCCATCCTCTTGCATGGAGTCATTACGAGGTCTTCATAGAAAGGAGAATCGTTCTTTAAGCCCATTTTAAAGGCTTCAACTGCAGTTGCCATGTCGATGTTGGGGATATTCAGAGCTTCCCTGCCAAACCTGTTCACAAAAGTCATAAGGGATTCCTTAGGATCCCGAACCACCCGATAGAGATCACTAGTGATCTTTTCGATTGTTCTACTACAAGAAAAATTATTGTTAAATAAATTAATTAAATGAGAAAACGATGTAGAGTAAAGAGGAACATTAATAAGCCATTTTAAAGTTGATCATGTGAGGGTTGAACCAAAACCCTTGCATAGGTAAGCTTCTTTTAAGTGAGTGGGGATGGGAATGATCTCCATCATTTCCCTGTATTGTGCCACGTGCTCCTCAGGATATGTAGTCTCGTCATAAGGCTTCATGTTGGGGGTTTGGAAGCGCTTTGGGACTTCGGTATCAGCTATTTTTGGAACAAATCTTGAGATCCTGTGGCTTGTGGTGGATACTTCCAATATAGGTTGAACTACTCTACGCACGCTCGAGATCATTGGTCTTTGTTGCTTAAGCTCCTTAGCCATGATCGGGATTAAACCTGTCTCAAGAGCCATTAAGTTAGTGGTAAATATATTATTATTAACGGGGTTACCAGGATCCTTGTTATTGGGAGTAACCAGGGGTGGAGCCAATAAGAGGGTTGCCGGATGCTTTGCCCCCATTAATTCCTTTCAAAGTTCTGTTATAATATATATAGTTAATAAATCCATGAATAAGTTGAAGCCCACATCAGCTATCAATATTACTAAGCCCCTCCCAATTTTTTTTCAAGTTCTATTATTATATTAAAAAATAATAAGCCTTTGTCAATTATCACTAAAAATGAGGCCCACAATCTTACTGGAAAAAATGCTACAGCGTACATATCCATTTAACTTAATCACCTATTCCATATACCCATTTATTTGAATTCATGTTAATATTCTTTTAATCGTAGATTAATAGGTACATTTTGCTCTTAAATTTCTATGTTAATTGACTATTAATCGGTATATAATTAGTAGCTTTTTATTATCCACATATAAAGTTATAGACGATTTCTCTTCTTTAAAATAAAGACGGTCTCAACGTAAAACGAGTAAAATACTACTTATAATCTTATAAAATTAATTTAGTTTTATTTTCTCTAAAATTGATCATAGTACGATATATATTTATGTTCTAATTAGTTTTTTTAATACTAGTAAAATAATGATGAGAATTGGTGTTTATAAACGGCTATTTTATAAATTTTATGGACTTGATTATGTTATTCAGAATTTTTTTTTAATATTTTGTTACGACGTAAGCCCCCCTTATCCTAAAATCCTAGCTCCGCCCCTAGGAGTAACAAAGGTTTTATTGGGATCATGGGTCATCTGGTCTTACTCTCCTGGAGTCGTGCCCCAGGAGGGAACAAAGGCTGGTATTGAGGATCATATCTCGTGACGAATCGTTGAGGATCCCGTGTTATCAAAGTTCAGGATCTTGGGTTGTAGGATCGAGGGTGGTGCTTCCTGAGGCTTGTGGATTTCTGTCCTTATTCTCTCCACTTCCTTGAGAATTTTCCTGTTATCCTCATGATGTTGGGAGACTTTTCGTTCTAGTCTCTTCATCATAGCAAAGATTTCATTGTTGGAAATCAGCACAGGAGGATCCTGGAGTCCTTGGATAACGACCAGAGAGGTGTTTTTCTTCGGTGCTTCCGAGTCTTTCTTGGGAGCTCCAATTGGAGGTGGTGGAAGGTTTTTGCAGGAAATAGGAGTAATTGAGGAAGAGGACAGGGTCGATTATGTAGACGGGATTTTTCAAAGGATTTTGAACACCACGGCCCCATGGTGGGCGCCAAATTGTTTTGGTCAAAAAATAAACAAGCAAGAATCAACCAAATTGTATGAGAAGCTGTGATGTTCAGAATAAAGCAAGTATAAGATGATGATCAAAGTGACACAAGTATTTTACAAGGAAAGCCTTTGATCCTTGTTAGGATCTCCGGCATAAAACCTTGGGAGGTGATAATGATCATTTGCCTTGATGATTTTATTAATTAAAGCATTTGATTACAGAGATGAATGTAAATTTAATTACAAGTATCATGTATGAGCTAAGTAATTGTGTCCATAGTGAGATGAATACATGTGTTATTTATAGTCGAATACTAATAACAAGAAGTCCGATAATTCCAGGATCCTCCGAGATCAGCTTATAAACGTTATTGGACTTGGTATTCCGAGTCTTTTGCATGGTCATGATGATTCTTCGCTAAGAATTAGTCTTTAGATGACTATTTCTGCACATGTGAGAAAAATATAGAAGCATATAACCGTTATATATGTTGGAAAAATAAATGATAATAATCAGGATCCTGAAGTATATCTGAGGATCCTGAGGTTTGAGGATCCTGAATGTAATTTCGGGATCCTGCCCCTAACAATTGCCCTCAAATTATTCATGCGAAATACTTTGAAGTTAGTTTATCAATATTTAAAGGGATCTCATTCTGGTTTCCTGAAGACCTACAAAATGAGATCCCATGATGAACACATAAATACTTCACCCAACTTCTTTTAAAAAAAGTGTGAGTGCAACAAATATTTAAAGATAGACAATTCAGTGATCAACTTGCAACCCACCATTCCACCAATACTAGAAAGAATTTACTTAACCGTTTCCGTATTTCCTTCCATATCATAACCAAGAACACCACCCATTTCAATATACTGCTTCATCACATCTGCTATATCATTAACATTAGCTGAAACTTGTTTTTTAAGAGGTTTCGATGAACAATGAGAGTTTGATGAAGTAGCTTTAAAAGAAACATAATCTCCCATAAGAGCATTATTTTCTCTATGAAAACTAGGAGGTTGTGATATAGATTCCAACTGAACTCCATCACCACTAGAAGTAGACTAATGTTGTTCAAAACCCGGAGAACTATTTTCATCCGCAACTACTTCAGGTGCATCAGGACCAAGACCCACCGCATTTGAATTAACCTCAACCAGAGAAGAATTATGTGCACTGACCGGAACAACCATTTCAGGAGGCGTTGCTTCTGTAGCAGCATGAACTGTAGTAGCCGGAGATATCTCCACAAGTGTTGTCGGCACAACAGGAACAGGAAAAGAAGACTAATGCACTACCGGAGGAACAACCCTTTTAATGCCACTAGTAGGAAAAAATCTATCCGCACGATCTACAAATCCTGCACCCCGTTCTCCTTGAATGGTGTAGACTTTTTCACTTGAAACTTCTCCAACTTCACTGTCTGCTGTTCCTACTTTCTTATTAAACGACATATTCTCATCTTCCATTTCTTTCCCAAAAAAAAATTAATTTTCATATCACCCAACAAACTAGGAATGTTAAGATCCAAGCTCTCTCCAATATCAACCATTTCATGTTCCCAATTTGATAATTCCTAAATACCCACTTCATACTTAATCCCTTGAACAACCACATTAACCTTATCAAGAATAAAAGATGGTTTCGAAGTTTTAATTCATGCACGATTGGAAGCCAAAGGAGCATCAAGATCATTCTCCAAAAAACATACTTCACCCCATACTTTAGCCACTTTAGACACGACATAATCATTTCATGCACAACATGGATGCCCAATAATCTCAACCCAAACAACTCTATCCATCACTCTAAACCCATTAACAACTGGTCTAAAACTAGAAAAGAACGCATGAACACCTACATATTTCTTAAATTTAGAACACACCATCTCTAATTCAAAATAAATATATACCCAATCACCTCGCACATACCTAACTTTAATCTCGAAAAAGCCTTCCTCCCTAAGAAGAACCAAGAGGCTAGGAACTAACTTCACATTCGGAACTAGACCAAATAATGAGGCCTGTAGTGATAAAACCAAACAAATCTCATGAAATCAACCCTTTTACACATGATTTTAGTCTCAAGTCGGTTGTATTAGATAGATGATGACAAACAATTTGATAACTAATCTTGTATCATTTATATATTTATAAATACATAAAGTGTATCTTAATAATTGATTTCGTGTGAGGAACATAATGATCACATTGTATTAAGTTTTATCATAAAGAATATGATATACTAGTTGTATCATACCCATTAAGAAGATATATTATATATGTCATAATGTGCTAATTTAGTATATGTTGTCAAGAATGATCGATCTTTGAAGATACTCTTTTGCTACTATTTACTAATAAATTAAACGATAATAATGTTTGAGATTACAGGTAGAATATAAAGTCAATAACCTTATTATTAGCAAAACAAAAGTGAGTATTTGATAATTTTTGTTAATAACCCGAGAACTAAAGGTGGAACGTTAAATTAAAATTAACTCATTAATGACATGGTCGTCATTTGACCAATCTAATTTAATGTTTAATTTTTTGGGTTATTGTAAATATTAATAAAAAGGTCTAAGAATTAATATAATAAATCAAAATTTTGGATTTTTTCTATAAAAATAATAACTTTTGATTTTTTTAAAAATGCAGATTTTTTAATTTTTTTAGAAAACATAAACTTAAAAAACTGAATTTGTTTTTTTTAAACTACAACTTTTTTAAAAACAGTAAATTTTTAAAAATTAGTAAATTTATAAAAAAAACTAGAATAGTAAAAAAAACTATAATTTGTTTAACATAAAAAATTAACGTTTTAGATGCATTTATGCTTATTTTTTTCAAGTGCATATATACATATTTCTTATACTATAATACTTGTAAGTAAATCATAAAAATATCTATTTTTTTACTAATCTATAAACACAATAGTACACGTATTTTATTAGATACAAAAAAAAATTGTAACACTCAGACATCAGATATTTTTTCTTTTGGGCTCAATATATAAATTTGTTGCAAAAATGGTCCTTACGCCATGCGTACTTGGGGTGTACACATGGTGTAGCTCATTAAAAGAAAGTCTGGAATCATGTGAGTACATTGGGCGTACTCATAGAATACGCAGGGGGTACAAGGCTGGAGGGAAAACCCTAATATTGAGGGTTTGAGCTCTATTTAAGTAACCTTAACCCTCAAAACCCTTTCTACCTCCAGCCTCCATCCTTCGAAAATGATCCCTTGCAAGCCCTAGTGTTTATTGTGACTTTTTGAGCCATTTGTGCTTTTTTGTGTCCATCCTTGAAGGAAGAAGATATTTAGAGTGCATTCGGGAGCTTCAAGCCTTGTAGATCTGAGTTTCGCACATTTCAAGCAACCTCTAGAAGGGATAAAGCTATGATATTGATGAATGTTTCTTTAGATCTTGATAGTTCTTATGTTTTTGTGCATTTTGGTCCCATAATCTTGGTATTCATGAGTATGTGTAACACCCAGACGTCAGGTATTTTCCATTTTGACCCTAAGTATGAAAATGTGTTGCAAAGTTTGTCCTTAAGCCATGCGTATTTGGGGTGTACGCATGACATAGCTCATTAACAGGAATTGCATGTTCATGTGAGTACGCTGGGCGTACGGGACAAATGAGAAAACCCTAATTTTTAGGGTTTGAGCACTATTTAAGCATCCTTATCCCTTCAAAACCCTATCCTTCATCATCATCCATCTCCCAAAAACGTCCCTTGACAGCCCTACTTCCTTATGTGTGTGATATTGAGCTTGATAAGAATGTATTCTTGTGATTGTGAAGGAGGAAAAAGGTGGTAGATCATCCTGGAAGCTCAAGGCAACTTAGATCCAGAGGTATCTCACCCTCAAGCATCCCTTGAAGGTATAAAGTTTGAAACTTGATGAATGTTTTCCTTGGATCTTGCTAGATTTTAAGTTTTATGCATTTTTAGTCCCATAATATTGGTGTTCGTGAGTATGGCTTACTCTAAACCATAAGATATGTCCTTTCAAACATTTTTGAGTGCTAGTAACCATAAAAATGTGATATTGGTTCATTTATTTTCTCCATGAAAGAGTTATGAGGTTTTGGTTTGTGTATTAAGTTAGGGTTTGGCTTTTGACTCAAGTCCGTTTCTCTTATCAAAAAGTCTGTCGATAACGTTGTACTTCTCCTAATTGAATAGAGTGTTCGAATTAAACCAGCAAATAAAATCCATGGTAAGCAACATGGATGTCGTAGAATACACCACTCACACTCGAGGTCGGAGATTCGGAGAACTCAAGGAAGAACAACATGATTAGAATGGCATTGCCCGTATACTATGTCATCATTTAAATTAAATAAAGAAAGGTTGTTTCCCAAGGTCACAAACTCTATACACTAGAGTATAGAGTCCCACTGACCTAGAGCAAACCAAGTATCAAAAGATTGCAACAAATCAAAGGATGCATGAAACTCATAACCAGCTCGAGGAGCTATCCAATCTGCTAATCGGACATTTTAAATCTCTAACAAGGTTACCTAGGGCGATTGATACCCTTAGATTAAGGTTAGGGATCATGGGAAAAGAGATTACATGCACACATTTATCCTTGCTATATCTCCTAGTGGACGGACCTATTCCATTACTAACCTTGTCGATGTTTGGAAACTAGGTGTAACAATATGTAACCGGAATACGAGTATTTATGCTATCAAGTTGTTTCAAAGGTTGTTAATGTTAAAAATTCTCATTCTTTCATTTGAAATCAGTTGAATTTCAATTCTCGCTCTGTCATTCGAAATTGGTAAGGTTTTAGTTCTCACCCTATCATTTGAAATCGGTAGGATTTCAATTCTATCATTTGAAATCAATAGGATTTCAGTTCTCACTCTATCATTTGAAATCAATAGGATTTCAATTCCCTCTCTATCATCTGTGGTCGGTGGGATTTCACTTATCTCTCTTTCATTTGAAATCGAAAGGATTTCAACTCTCTCTCTCTCTCTCTCTCTCTATATATATATATATATATATATATATATATATATATATATATATATATATATATATATATCATTTGGAAATCTATAGGATTTCATAAATCAATTGCTTTCCATAATTTAGAAATCTGTAGGATTTTAGGGACAAGTTACATTAATGCACTATCATACAATATGACTTATACGTGCTTATTTATATCTAAGTGATTACTGATACGTTCCTACCAACAAAATTTATGCTTCCATTTTTGACACTGGTATCGATAAGGAGTTTTATTTTCCATAAGTTTAGGAGCATGATAAACCATATATCATGAAAACTTGACGAAGCTTATACAATAGAACTAGCAAACGGTCAGTTACAAATCACTTTAGAAATACTCACTAATTACCTTCTCTCCCTGAATAACCACATCTTTCATGTCGACCTAATGCCTATAATCATTGGAAGTCTCAATGTAATCATCGAAATATATTGGTTATCGCCTCATTGAATGGAGATTTTAAGTTACAAAAAGGTCATTCAACTACCTCTACCCAACAACAAAGCCCTTGTGATTTACGGAGATAAATCAGGAAAGAATCTAAGATTTATCTCTCTCATGAAGGCGAGAAAGTGTTTGCATAGAAGATGCTTCGTTTTCTTGAACCACGTGGTAGATATGCAAGGCAAGGGTAAGGAAATCAAAGATATTCCACAAGTGTGCGACTACCCGGACGTGTTTCCAGAAGACCTACTTGGAATACCTCCAGTCAGACAGGACGAATTCCGAATCGACCTAATCTCGGGTGCAACACCAGTGGCAAGATCTCCTTATCACATGGCTCCATCAGAAATGAAAGAATTTTCCAGTCAAATCTAAGAACTTATTGACAAAGGATTTATCCGACCATGCTTCTCTCTACGGGGAGCCCCGGTATTGTTTGTCAAAAAGAAGGATGGATCGTTTAGGATTTGCATCGACTATCGAGAGTTGAACAAACTCACAATCAAAAACCGATACCCACTCCCAAGGATTGATGACCTGTTCAATTGGCTACAAGGATCCTGCTACTACTTAAAGATTGATCTGAGATCCGGCTATCATCAACTTAGAGTCCAAGAAGCAAACATCCTAAAGACGAAATTCAGGACTCGGTATGGTCACTACAAGTTTCTGGTTATGCTATTTGGACTGACCAACACACCAACTATATTCATGGACCTTATGAATCAAGTGTGTAAACCCTATTTGGAAATCCGTGATCGTATTTAACAATGACATATTGATATATTTCTACGAACCAAGGAAGAACATGGTCAACACTTTCAATTAATCCTGGAATTTTTAAGAAAGGAGAAACTTTATGAAAAATACTCTAAGTGAGTTATGGATTAACAAAGTGCATTTCCTCGGCCATGTGCAAAGGTGTTCATGTTAATCCCGCAAAAATCAAAGCAGATAAGGAAGGGAAAGCACCAACGACG